GCTTCGGGCTGGCGCTCCGCGCCCGCTTGGCTCTGCGTTCCGGGCTGTCCCCCGAGCTCAGTGCGAGCAGGACGGCCACCAGCACGTTCCCGTGCTTGAGATCGGCACCTTCCTCCCGGCCCTCTGAGATGGCAGACGTTCGGCCAGCCCTCGCTTAGCCCTGCCGAAAGAGATGGGCGTTTGGTGGCAGGGCTGCGCGGCGCTGGCGCTTAAAAAGGGAGCGCGGCACTTTCCTGAGAGGTGGCACCGCGGGGTCCGGCCCTGCCAGGCTGCAGAGGATGGGAAGGAAGGACCCATGCACCCGTCTCAGCAGAGAGGGCCAGCTGGGCAGGGTCAGTAGCACCCACTTGGACACACACAGAGGTTTTACTGAGCAGGAGCTTTTAGACAGTTCAGGTACCCGTAAACATCTCCTTTTGGTTAAAACCTTAAAATTTGGATTCTTAGCTGTGCTGGGTGACATATCAGGGTCTCATAGGTTGCTTTGGATCTGTCCCATAAATACCCTTAAAATCAATTTTAGGGTTGGCATAGTATTTGCAGTGGCAACAGCAGGTCCCACTAGGGAGGGACATCTTATAAGCAGCCATTGATGCCTGTGGTGGGCAGGATCTCGCTCCCCTGTTCCCATTTGTGAGCACCAGAGGTGTGCTGGAGGAGGTCCTCTGGCACAGCAACAAGCACAGCTCCATGTTGTGACAACAGTTGTCACCTTCTTTTGTCAACATCTTAACCTGTGTGTGCCTACATTGACTTTCAAGGATCTCCTGACAACTGCCTTGGACCTGATGAAGCTGGAGAAGATGGAGTTCAGCGGCATTAAAGGGAAGGCGCTGGGCCAGCAGGTGCTGGACATGCATGAGGAATTCCAGGAGGTGTACAAGGTGTTTGCTGAGCGAACCTATGACTGCCTTGACCTGACCAGCACGGTAGGTAGAACCAGCTTACAGGAACGCCAGCAACATGTGTGTGTTTCCAAGGCAGCAGTTTCCTCTGTGATGGAGCCCTGGCTCATGTGCAGTCCTGCTGACTTCTTCCCAGCTCCTTCCTCCTTTCGTTATGATCTGATCTGTCGCTGTAGGGAACAGGGACCTACTGGCATTTCCTGCAGAGGTTTGGGAGTTCTTGCTGGTCTATATCTAGCATATCTTGCTAGTTCAGGACCTTAGACCAGCACAGCTGGTCTTTTCCATGTCTTTTACACAAGATTTCTCTGCACATGTTGCTTGCTGGGATGTGTGAGCTGTACCAACATCCATGTCTCTTTGCTTTCCTGCTCTTGGTACCTAGCTTGCCTGATGAGGGTCAGCTTAGGTAACCTCTGGGGACATGCTTGCTCTTGTCTAGTTGCACACATGACATCTGGTGCTCTCAGAATTCAAGGACTCTCTATTTTATTATCAGTAGTGCTTTAATTAAAGGAATATTCCCAGCCCTCTGGGTCATGGCTCAATGGCCATCCAGATCCCAGATGCTCACACCAGCATATGTCATACAAGCAGGGCAAAGCAAACATGCCACAGGCCTTATGGTCTATTCAGAAACTCCTGCTCTTGGCTTTGACACCGAGCAGCGTAGCCTGGGTGGGCTATGAAGGAAGGGTGGGAATGGCATTTCTGAAGACGTGTGTGTCCTGTGGTTGTGTCTGATCTCAGGATCTTTGATTTCTGCTTCTGCTTGTCCCATTTGCCCTGGAGTCAGTTTGCTGCATCTAGTTAGCAGGACATAGTTAGGCCTGTCCACACGTTTAGGGAGGGAGTGCTAAAACTGGAGTGGCCAGAAGAAGCTCCACGATGAGGACTCCTGTCTTTCTTACACTGCTCATGGGGCAGCCATTCATGGCAGATGTCCAAATGGCAGGTAATCGCAGGGCAAAGTTCTCCCTCCAGCAGGCTCCTGCCTTGTTCCCTCCAGAAAGGACTGTGCTGTGGTGAAGGGTGGCTGGGGTGGTGTGGGACATGGGGCTGGTGTGCCCTTCCTTCAGGTGTTGGGACCTGTCTGGTGTGGTGATGGGCAGCTTGTGCTTTGCTTCCTGTAGTTCCTGGTACATGTCTGCAGTGGGTGGCATGTCCCCAGTGCTGCCTGGGAGGATCTTGCTGGAAAGCTGCTTATGCCATGTCACTCCTCCTTCAGGAGGGAGGGCACAGAAAGAGCAGTGACAGTGGCTTTGCAGGGGCTGGCTAGGTTTCAGTGACTCCATGGCCTTTTGAGTGACTCTGAGTCACGCTTGTTCTTTCAGTGCTTGAGTTTTGCATCCTCTGCTACTTTCTAGAGCCTCTTTTTTTAGATAAAACATGGCATCTGGTCTTGCTGGAGCTCAGCAGTGATGATAACAAAAGCTGTTGCCTTATGCTTTGTCCTTTCGAAAAAGAGACACATGACCTAATTTTTAGGGGCTTTGTCCAAGCTACACAGAAGGACTGAAGTCTCCCAGTTTGTTGAGCTCAGTCTTTGATTTGGGCTCTTTTACCTGTAGGAAAACAAACCCAGATTTTATGCTTGAACTTCAAAGTATTTATTACAATTGGAGCAGGAAAAGCAGTGCCAGAAGACGATGGAAATTACAGCAATACGGAACTGTTGAGGTTGGAAAGGACCTCTGGAGATCATCTAGTCCACCTCCCCTGCTAAAAGCATGCTCAGCTAGAGCGAGACTGTGACCTTTCCGGTTAAATACCTCCAAGGCTGGATATGTCCAAGGGTGGAGACTCCACAGCCTCTCTGGACAACCTGTGCCAGTGTTCTGAAACTACCTTTATTGTTGTCCCATTTACAGCCAACTCATGGTCAAAACCACAGGCTTGTTTTGGCTTGAAAGTAGATTGGGTTTGGATCTCAGCAGGTACATCTGAGTTTTCTGGGTGATGGTGTAGTCTTCAGGCCAAGGGGAGGGAAGAGGGTGCAGAAATTGTCCATCTTGCCTCTAGGGTGAAGTTAGTGCTTGTTGGACTGAGAAAGCCCTTGGGACAAAAGGATCCATCCCGGAGGGCCATGATCTCAGCTGTGGGACAGTACAGAAATGTACTCAGGCTCTGTGGGGCTTTGCTGTGCTGCGATGGCTGAAGGTTGGCCAGAGGAGTGGTTTAATTCACGGTGAATGAGAAGAGGAAAGATCTCTGGAGCAGCAGGTTGCAGGTACCTTCTTGGTGTCATCTGGCAGTCTCACAGCTCGCTGTTTTGCCTTTCCACAGGAGTTTGAGCAAGATGCCTTTGATTTCAAGCAGAAAGTAGAAGACATTGACCGGCGGCTGGGCACTGTTTTCATCCAGGCTTTTGATGATGCCTCAGACTTGGAGCAAGCCTTCAAGGTTTGTCTGTCAGGTCCCCTCTCATTTGTAGAGGGAAGTCAGGGTGCCTACGGTTTGGCTCAGTGAGAATCACGCAGAGGAGGGTAGGCAGTGCAGCAGCTACAGGCACACAGGGCTGGTATTTGCTGATGGGAGTGGACAGTGGGACAATGGGACTTGGAGCTTTTGGGCTGGTCTTGGTTATGTGGGTCCCTCGCAAACTGTTAAGCCATGGAGCTTGTTGAAATCTTTGGGAGTATTTCTACTCTTCCCATTAAGACACAAACAGAATAGACTTTTGTTCAGTTTTAGAAAGAGTAGTCAAAGAAAATATTGAAATCAGATTTTGGATGCCAGGAGCTTTACTTGTGTCTCTGTCTGTGAATTGGAGGAAACTATGCTTTTTCTAGGATTTCATGTCGAGAACCACTGTTAAAAACCAGGTGATTATTGTTAATATCACATTGTTAATATTATTAATACATGGATGTATTTCATTTTTTGAAACTGAAGTTTTCTAGAAACAAGGATGTTTTGTTTATAATTTAGTGTATCTTGCAGAAAAAGTAAATGGTATTTTCTGAAAAACTTAAGTATAAGTGCTTGTAGAAAAGACTGTAGAAAATTATAGTATTTATCTTTGTAAGGTTTTTGAAAAAATAGCAAATTTTGAAACATTTGAAGAATGACAGTTGGAATATGGTTCACCCCCAGAGAAAGTCTGAGCAGCTCTGTAACAAAGGGAGGGACTACTTGGAAAAGCAAGGTAGAGAAAAACAATTTCCCTTTTCCAAAGTGCCCATGGGTGCAGACATCTGGGCTAGTGAGGATGGTGAAGCATCTGGGCTAGTGTCGTGGTTTAGCCCCAGTGGCAACTAAACACCACGCAGCCGCTCGCTCGCTACCCCCTGGTGGGACGGGGGAGAGAATCAGAAGAGTGAGAGTGAGAAAACTCGTGGATTGAGTTTAATAGGTAAAGCAAGAGCAGTGCACGCAAGCAGAGCAAAACAAGGAATTTGTTCACTACTCCCCATGGGCAGGCAGGTGCTCAGCCATCTCCAGGGCAGCAGGGCTCCGTCACGCGTAATGATTACTTGGGAAGACAGATGCCATCACTCTGAATGTACCCCTTTCCCTCTTCCCCCAGCTTGATATGCTGAGCGTGATGTCATATGGTCTGGAATTCCCTCTGGCCTGTTGGGGTCAGCTTCTTCTTGTGCATGCCCAGCCTTCTTGCTGGTGGAGTGGTGTGAGAAGCAGAAAAGGCCTTGACTCCGTGTAAGCACTGCTCAGCAGTAACGAAAACATCCCTGTGTTATCAGCACTGTTTTAATCTCAAATCTAAACCACAGCCCCATACTAACTTTTGTGAAGAAAATTAACTCTATCCCAGCCAAAACTAGCACAGCTAGTGAGGAAGATCCCAGTGAGTGTCTCTGCAGAAGTCGGAGGTGTGAATTTTTTCCCCTTTCTCTCCCTAATTCTTTACCTC